GAAATGCTGAGGTGCTGCCTGCCACATGTGCTGGGGAAACAGGATCCATTTGAACCCCTGAATTTAAGATGGGAGGCCTGGGAGCCCCAGCCCTCCTCCCCTCCTTTCTCTCCACTTGATGTTTTCATCTGAAGTAAGATGGGGGTCTGGCATCTGCTCCACCCACCAGCACCATGGCAGGCTGGGTAGGCGAGAGCGCCGAGGTCGGGTGGGCTGGGCTGTCCTGGCTTTCTGCCCGCTGAGCAGTTTGGACACGGGTTCAGGGGACCAGAGTGGGGACCTTCTGCCCCAAAACTTGCCAAGTTCTACAGGAACCAGCACAGGCGGCCACTGGGGACGGCCTGTGCCCCAGAGCTCGAGGCCCAGTCCTCCTCCAGCTGGCATCCGGCAGGCAGGCATTTTGCAGCCCTACATGAGGATGGCTCAGAGCCTAGCACACAGTAGGCCCACAGACAAAGACACACAGGGATGCAGGAAAAGGTGAACAGGCCTATGGAATGCAGCCACCAAAACAGAGAGCCCAGGCTGCAGGAGCCTGGGGGCCTCCAAGTGGAAAGACCTGGCAGATGCCCACAGCTGTTTCGGCCTGAAGACAGACGCAGAGGCTTCTGCGAATCTGAGGGATGGAGGGAGGCAGGGGTGTGGCCAGCTTGGAGCACAAGGAGCCCCAGCTGCTCACCCAGGGGCCGCACACACCTGGGCACCTGCATGCCTGATCTCAAAATAAAGCAGGCACTGAATGAGCGTGGGTCCATCTTACTCAGGCCTGGCTTATAGCAGGAACCAGCGCTGTGCCTGGCTAGTGCACAGGGGAGGTGGTGGGGGCCCTCTGCCTGACCTCCCCACCAGACCTCCACACCCCTCAGAACCCCCACAAAGTGCAGGAGGCTGAAAATCCACAAAGCAGTTTGCCAAACACATCAAGGAGATAAAAACAAATAACCCTCCCTGCCTGTCTGATGGGAGTAAGGTTTCCACGTGCCCTGACCTGGCCTCCAATCAGCCGACTTCCATGCAAAAGCACCCTCGAAGGCCCTGCTGGCCTCTTCTGGATCCTTCTGTGCAGTCCTCCCTGCCTGTGACCACAAAACAGATTCACACCCTGGCATGTGGTCACACTCTGACCACCTTTAAACTCACTTTCATTCTCTGAAGCATCCTCACCTTCACCTGGCACAGGTAAGAGCAGACATGCTGCGAAGCCAAGGTGAGCCAGGGATTGGGGACCAGGGAAAGGCAGGCTGTGCACACAGTGGGCGGAGGACCGTGGCCTCCAAGCCTGGGCCGTGGTGAGGCCCCTGATGGGCACCCCCCACGCTGCGAGGCAGCCTGCGGGGCTCTTGCAGGCCCAGGCTTGTATCTGCACTAAGTGCTCAGCTTTGTTATTCTTTCTAAAGTAGGAAAAACAGACAAAGCCACTTATTTCTCAACTCGAGAGTGCACCAAATGGAAAGCAAACCACAGCGTATGGAGGTCACTTCAGTGGGTACTGTCCCTGGAGCAAGGGCCTTGGGGCCATGTTGCTCTGGCATCAAGTTAAGTCAGAAGCGGGGCAGGGAAGGCCCAGTCCCTGGAGGTGGCCAGGAAGGCCAGGCACGTTTCTGGGCAGCACCTAAGCAGCGCTGGCTTTCCTGCCAGCAGCCCTGGCCCCAGGCTGCAGCCCCCTGCCCAGTGAGTTCTTTCCTTTCCCAAGGTGTCCCTTGGCACCACATGGGGGGACCCAGCACAAAGCCAAGAGCACCTTGGAATGCTGAGGGCTCCCCAGATGCTCCCTCAGTCTCATCCACACCAGGAAAAGCTGTAGCTCCTCAGGGCAATCTCAGAAGTAAGAAAGAGCCTCTCCGAAGCAGGGGTCACTGGCCCAGCGAGGGACCCAGCACCACACCCTCTTCCATTAGCCCTGCCAGGATGGCAGACTGTGTCAGTCACAGCCCCCCCCCCACACACACACCACTTGCTGGGCACGCCCTCGTATGCCCGTGCTCCGTGAGTCCAGGCCAGAAGCGCTCAGATTCGCGACTCCCCATACATGGTGTGAGGCTGTGGCATGCCTAGCTAGACTCAGAAGCTTCTCACATCCGGCTGAGGCATGTTAAGATTTTGCTGTCCCTTTTCCAAGCAGGGCTTGAGGGTGACCAGAGGCTGCTGGGCAGGGCAGACCCCCAGTCTGAGCTGGGAAATGCTGCATGGGGCACTTGGCTCCAACACCTGTAAAGCCCGGACTGCATGCCTCTTGGTCCTCCCTCCTGGGAGCTGCAGGCTGGGAGAGCCACGCACTTCAAAGCTCCAGCCTGAGGGGTCCCTCCTGCCTCGGCGAGGTCTGGGTGCCTGTGGCTGCACCCAGAACCAAAGGGCAATTCCACCTGCACTGGTCTCTGGCCGGCCAGACCCCACGGCATCCTGGCCTTGGGACCGGAGCGGCCGGGACGGGGACAGCACCTGCCCAGTGCATGAAGTGGGCCTGGGATGACACGGGCCGTACTTACAGGAGACGAAATATTCACCAGGACCACGCCATGTTTTAAAATGATTATAAATTATTTTAACAGTGCATTTGCAAAGGGTTATAAAAACAGCCATAATGTATTTTTTTCCTTAGATTCTAGAATTACCAGTGTGACAGCTAATGCAATAATGATTTGTTTCAAATGCCAGTGTTTAAGCTGTATAAAGCTGATTTTATACATTTTTCCAGTAGGCCGCATTGTAGTTAATGAAATTAAACACACCAATCGCATTTGTCCCCAGGGGACGAGGAGCTGAACACACCACTGGTTTATTTTTTTATTAAAATAAATTGCAGCCGGCAAGATGGACTAATTGCATACAGAATTGAAAAAGAAACATTCCATTGATATAATTAAGCCAATTTTCATGGACAGAAATAGTTATAGTGGATATAAAATAAGCAGAGCCCTCACCAGAGTCCGACTTTCCTCCTTTTCTGCACCAAATGCTAACTATTAGACGTGTATCTTGAGCAGGCACGGCACTCCGCTCTTCCAGCTCCAGGCATTGTTCCCCAGTCCTGGGAGAGACCAGCCGAGGGCCAGTCTTCAGGCACCTCCGGGCACTGGAGGATTTGCGACCCCAGACTGCAGCAGTCAGAGCAGGCAGAGGCTACCCCTCCTGGCTGCGGGGCTGCTCTAGGCCCAAAAAGCCCCGCAGCCTGGCCAAAGCCCAGCTCCCAGATTTGAAGAACAACAGCCTGCTCCAAGCCGGCCCTGCAGGTTGGAGGATCTCCCCAGCCCTCTGGGGAGGGGGAGGCTACAGACTGAGGGTACACAGCAGGTGGGATGCCCTGGAGCCAGGCAGAGCCTCCTGCACCCTTAGAAGACAAGGGAGGTGTATATACAGGACCTCCCCAAGTCTGCACCCTGCCTGCCCCTAGGAAGCACCTTGGGTAGGACAGGGGAAGCAGCAGGCTTCAGAGGCTCCGGGCCAGCCCTGAGCAAATAAGGACTGCGATCTGCAGGCGGCCGAGGCCCTAGCTCATCGCTGTGTCCGGGCGTGTACACGTGGGTCTCCTGCTCGACTTTTAGAGCAGACCTGCTCCAAGAACAACAGCCTTGAGAAAACACTGAAACCCTGACATTAAAAGCCACCATGGAATTAGCTCAGGTCCACAGTGTTCTGTGGGGTGGGGGGGCCAGGAGAGGCCTCCCAGGTCTTCCCTGACAGAGCATTCCTGCAACCCTGAGCTTTCCCGGGGTCTCAGAACCCTAAAAGAGGCGCAGGCTACTCCACACTCTACCCATCCCAGGATCTGTGTGAGAGCTGTTCTCATCTAGCCCGACTCTGACGCCACTGCCTGCACAGGCTCCCTGCCTCCCTGCCTCCCGGGGACCAGGGTGGCCCTGGCCGCCCTATACACACTGGCTCACAACCACCTCTCCTGAAGTGGAACCCACCAGTGACCCAGCCCTCTCTGCCTGGCATTCCCTGGAGGATCCCACACCACCGACACACTTAGGTTTAGCCCCAGGTCCCACGAACTCTCAGTTCCCAGATCTCGGAAGCCCCACTACAGGGAACCCTTGGCCCAGGAAGGCAGATCCGGATGGGACACCATCTTCTTCCGCCCTGAAAGCAGAAGGCGACCCTTGGGGCTGGACGGAACTAGAGAAAGCATGTTCTGGCTGGCCTGGGGCTCCAGGGACCCCGCTGAGCAGCACTACTCTACCTAGCGCGGCAGTTGGCAGTAACCTTGTGCTGGGGAGCCGGCGGCCAGCATCACAGCACAGCCGGAGACTGCCGTCCCCTCCCTGTGCTGTGGCCCCATCATGCCGAAGCTCCTAGCTGCCGCGCACGGGCGCCGGCTCCGCTCTGAAGTTTCTCCCCGTGGGCGCGAGACGGCGCGGAAAGAGCTGCTTTGCCCTGTGCCCTGGCGCCGGCTCCCAAGCCTCGGCTTCCAAGACTTGATACATGGGTTTGATTCACAGCCTGATAAATTGTATTTAACGCTATTTGAAATTTTTAAACGAAATTATTCAAAAGATTTTTAATCCTGGATCATTTTTGTTGAAACTCTAATTATGCATCACCTTAATTACCAGTCCCAGCCCCCCAACGACCCTTAATTGCTTCCTAATTGAATAAAACAGGGAGCTAATGTGCCCAAGGTAGCCGGGAGCTGTCCCAGGCCCTGCCGCCCTCAGGGGCCAAGGAGGGAGCCCCATCCACCTCCCCCTACCTCTGCAAAAAAAATCGGGACCCAGGCTCCCACCTGGAGCATTGCCCAGAGTGGACGGGTTCTCCGGAGCTTCGGGGCGGGGAGGGGCCAGAGGCCTGTCGCACCTGCTCCTCCAGGGCAGCCAGGCTGCGAAGGGGGAGACCTGAGGGGCGGCCAACCCCCAGCCGGCCCGGAGAGCCCCTCCTCGGCCTCCACACAGCGACACACCAGCTGCTGGCAGCAGGCAGGGCTCCGGACACGCAGCACAGTGCCTGGGGCACCGGGCCTGGCAGCCAGCCCTGCACTGCCCCACCACCGCAGCCTCCGTGTTTTCGCCTGAAGCGGGCAGGACACTCCAGCTCTGCGGGAGGGACCCTGAAGCCGCTGCCCTAACTGGTGCTGCAGGAAAGGCTGCTGGTGGGGCTCTGGGGAGAGCTACAGGGTGGGCGGGGGCTTCCCAACGAGAGGAGGAGACAGTCAGGGTCAAGCTCCCTAGGAGCTGAGCCGGCCGTGTTCCGAAGGCAGGAGAAACCTGGCGGCAAGCAGGGCCTCCCCACTTGCGCACACTTCTCTGGGACACACAGCAAGCTCCGCACCTTGGGAAGAGCCTGTGCCCCCCTTTCCCCTCCCAGGCCTGGCACTGATGGTGTCCGACCCTGGCATCTGTCACCTCCGGGCCATCCCAGGGCAGCTCTGGTGGGGCTCTGGCTCTGAAAAAGAGGCCCCCAACTGTGCCGTGAGAGTGGAGGTCAGGAGGGCGACGGGGCTTTGAGAACTCCCACCTGCCCACCTGGCTCACAGCAGTGGCAGATACAATAAGCTATTGTCAGAAATTTCATTTTTAAATGCAGGCCAGGGCAGTCCCTGCCCCAGTGGCCCGCACTGGTCCCGCTTGAGTAAGCAGACCCTGCCCCTGGACTGTCTTTCTCAGCTCTGGCCCCCAGGCTCAGGTTCCCCCGGGAATTGACCCACAGCCAGTCTGGGTGTCCTCAAAGCCTCTGCCCTTGGGACACTCAGTCAACCCCTCCCCACAGGCCCTGCAGTGCTAGCAACCCAGCCCTGGCAAGGCCCTCCAGAGCCGCACCTGGACAGGTCTGGGGCAGGGTCACCAGGAAACGCCAACGAAATCACAACTCCAGATGCACCCTTGGGGCTGCTCCCCAAGCACTGGGTCACAAGTCACATCCCTTGGCCAGGCCATCCTCCTGTCCTGTCCTCCATCTGAAACGCAAGGGCAGCGTGGAGCCCAGGGTCCCTAGGACCTGGCTCCCTCCCCGGCCTCTCCAGGGTTGCATTGCTTGGGTGGGATGGAGGGTGCTGCCCACAGCCTCTGTGGCTTGGTTGGGTTTCAGCGATGGAGTCAGGACCCAGCACTTTCTCATCTGCCTAAAATGCTGTCCAGTAGAAGGAAGGAAACTCCTCAGTGGACTAGCTGCTGCCCTTTTGCGCCTGCTCTGCCACCTTCTCAAGGAGGGCTAGGGATGAGCTCCCAGCTGTGACACCTGGAGGGGAGCCCAGGGCTCCCCCTTGCCTGAGCTTAGGTCTGCACCAGGCAGGCAGGCTCCTCCTCCCTTGACTGCTTCTCGCTGCTGCTGCTGCTGCTGCTGCCGCCGAGGACAAGCAGACTGTGTCCCCGGTTCCCATGAGTCCGGCTCTCCAGCCTCCAGGCCTCAGGACGACTGCCTGAGCCAGGCCTAGCAGAGCTGGGGCTAGGCAGCCAATAGTCCCCACCTGGCAGGGGTGGAGCAGGCAGAGGGCTGAGGGCCCCGCCAGGCGTGGGCTTTGAGAAGCTTCCAGCGCCTTGCTCGGTGCACCGTGCTCTGCTCTTTGCCTGCCTCTCGCTTACAGCGAAGTCCTGGCTTAACTCTACCACTCCAGTTACAGGCCCTTCCCGGAGAGGGCTCGGCCTGCAGCCTGGGTGTCCCGACTTAGGGAAGGCCCGAGCTGCACACACAAATCCAAGCACCTACCCAACACCCACCTCTACGGGCCAGGCAGCTAGGCAGGGCGAACGCACGCAGCCCCTCAGCCTCTGCGGAGAAACGTCTGGCCTTGTTCGCACCAAGAGGGGTCAGAGGTCACGGAGGCCCAGGAGGCCGAGGCCAAGGGCAGCCGGTGGAGGAGCCGGGCTGGGTAGGGGTGCCTCCCTGAGAGACCAGGAACGGCGGACGGCGGTGCCGCGGGCATCGGGCAGCGGACAGGAGCTGCTTTTCCCTGCAGGCTGGGTGTGTGGCCTACGGCTGCGGGGCCCGCGGTGTGGCCGAGCCCGGCCGGATCCTGAGCCAAAAGCGCGGAGCTTTTCCGGAAAACCGCCTAAGCCCCGCGCCCACCGGATTCTGCTGGAGGGCGCGGCTCTGGGCGCCGGGAGGGCAGGCTGCCTGCGCGGATCCGGGCGGCCCGGCAGGCGCGGCTGGCCGGGCCGGGGTG